GGAGGAGGAGGAGGAGGAGGAGGAGGAGGAATAAGCGCTGGCTCATGGCGACTAACCTTTGCACCTCAGCATCTAGGAAATCTCTAGCTTTTACACTTTCCACTCGTGTTTCAGAGGTTTAGAGGCTATGCTGTCCCTGAAGGGTTTTCTTAGAGCACAGCCTTGTCTTTTGTTCTCCGCATGTCAACAGACGGCAGTGCTCTTACAGACGTGGTAGACAAATGGTTACTGCGTCGGACTGAGGATCAAGAGGTCCGTGTTCAGGCCCTGCCAGGGTCACTGTGTTGTGTTCTTGGCCAAGACACTTTATTCTCCTCTCGCAGGGCCTGATCGTTCTACCCAGTTTTATAAATGGGTACAGGCGGAATTGATGTTGGGGTGGGTATAAACCTGTAATGGAGATATTCGTAGTCCCTTCATGCTAAAGAAACTGGGTGAATCTCCAGCGTGATGACCCATTTGGCTTAAAAGCAGACTTACTCTCACCAATGGACTATTTGATGTTTTTAGTGCTGATAACGCCAGTGAACCGAACAATCGTGGGACTGAAGACGTCAAAGCGTATGCAAGGTATTCATTCATTGCCACGCTTAAAAGTTACCATTTTTTTGTGTTCGTCACACAGTGCGTTTTAGGCATCGTTAATCCATTGCGGTATGCAGAACGCGTGTCATACATGTACCTAGTAAGGAGCTTTGTTGTCCATGAGTCTCTTTATAACCGAGTGAATAGAGTGCCAACCCAGCAGTCAAAGGTTTGAACGCTAACAGGGACTGAAGTAATCTCAGGATATTCGCCTTCGTCCAGTGATAGCCAGATGATGATCGTTTTGTTTTTCCCTAGACCTGTTCAGTTTGTATACCTTAATTCTACACGTTGAGCTTTGTTATTTAACCAGTTTAATTTCATCTTACATTGTAGCTGTTCTGTGGCTCCAACTTCACCGAAAGTGACCGAAAACCCTCTTTACAAAAGGTAAGCTTCGGTCTCTTTAAGCCCTTGTTTACTAATTATTACGGATACAACTAAAAAATACCCTGTTTTTATATGGAATTTAATGGCAAATCAAGCACATTTTCGTACGGGAGATCCTAACTTGTGCAAAGTGCTGAGACTTCACATCTAGTATTTTCCACCCATCCGTTCCCCATACTTTTTTTGTAAACATCAACTCTGCAGACCCTTAACGTCATGAGACATACAGTTCAGGGAGCATAAGTGATATTTTTGTAAGTTACTTTGACTCTCATGTCATTAATACAGTAACTATAAACAAGTTATTTCTTTTATTGAGTCAAATGCAGTTAATGATGCAATTATGTACAATGACATTGTTATTTGGAGCAGCTGTGTTTTTATTTTTGTAATCTCTATTTAATGTTTTGTTTCCAGAGTTGCTCCTCCATTCAGTGGTCCAAAACCCGCTACACAAAGATATGAACTGTAAGTATTCTCAGATTAAAGAAGAGAGTTGTTAGTTTTATTACATTGCGCCAGTGGATGCAGGATGTCAGGGTGTTTTGGACACCCCAATTGATGGACGAAGGTTTGAAGCGCGGCTAAGGAAGGAAGTAATCTTACTTCGTTTTGTCACCGTCAACAAATGACATGTATTAGTAGTATAGCGGGGGTAAAATTAACCTTTTTAGTAGATCTTCCAATTCCTTGTTGGTGGAGTACTCCCGGTTCTGACCGCATGANCGCGGCTAAGGAAGGAAGTAATCTTACTTCGTTTTGTCACCGTCAACAAATGACATGTATTAGTAGTATAGCGGGGGTAAAATTAACCTTTTTAGTAGATCTTCCAATTCCTTGTTGGTGGAGTACTCCCGGTTCTGACCGCATGAGTGTAAATGGTTTTTAAACCGTGTAAACGCATACAAACATCCGTCTACTGATTTCCGTCTACCTGTGAACGGCCGTTAATTAATTGAAATTTTGGCAAGCACGGTATTTAGACTGTCCTGGGTAGATGAGTCATCAGTTGTAAACGGAAAAATATCATTCCCGCTTGAACATACAGCCGGCTGTAAATACTTTACGGGGGCTTTGGCATGGTTAGGTCAGTCAGTCGGTACAGCTGGACTGTAGAACGAAAGGTCACGGATTCGATCCCCGGGAAGAGAGGGCGTAAAACAACATGGACGTATTCTTAGCGATGCACATTTTTTCTTTTACAAGATTTTCCTTTTGACAGTTTTATAATAGACCTCTTAGCTTGATTGTTTTGTTTTCTCAATGTAGGTTTTGTCTCTTTTTACGTAAATAAGCACCTGAATGGCTATTGTGCAACTTCTAATCTTGGGTATCGTATGATACTAAGGGTAACCTTTAACAAGTTTAGGCTTTTCGTCATTCGCCTGCCTTTTCAGCGTCATCTTGAATTACATCATGGGCGTACCATGGTCACGTGCTAGGCAACGAAAAAATCTCAGTTGTAGCACACTTACCTTCCTGGCAAAACAACAGCTTAACCCGCGTAACACCCAAGATATTTTGATACATAGATAATCCAACTGGTGTGTTCGAAGGCCGATTGGCGCTTAACCCAGGTTTTTTTTTCCTTGTGTTCGAAAGCATTTTCTCGGATAATTTTCTCTGTTATTTTTAGAGCTTCCAATCATCAACTTGTACACAAAAAGAATTAAAACTGAAATGCTTTTGAAGCTTTCAAATCTGAATTCAAATCTCGCACTAACCCTGGGTTATCTTAACCCAGCTTTGAACAACTCGGCCCTGAACTGTTTGTTGACGTTTTACTACTCGTCGGGCTTTGCAAACGATTTGCTTCATGTAAGAATGATGTAGCTTGTTCACTGATGTTTGCGTGACACATTTCGCGTTGTTGGTCAATCTCGACTCAGAGCTTCTGCGCATGTAGAGGAGAGAGAGTTTTCATCGGCTCGCGCATGCGTCAGGGGTGACATAGCCCCTTTATATATAAATTTTCCTTATGGAGATATCATCGAATTTACTCTGTGGCATTTTCGTCCACATCTAATCAAAAGATACTCTTACCTCAAACACACTCTGTAATGTACGATTTCTACTAGTTCATGACCTACATTGGGAAAACTTAACTTACAAGATAAAGAGGTCTATTAGATAAAGCAAGTATTCGTACTAAAAACACAGGACGTCTTCTCCTTTAACAACACTTTAATCATGACTGTATTTTATTTACACTTGTAGGGTGAAGCCATCCTCTGATGAAGAAGCAAGGTAAGATCAAGATCTTTACGTTTACCTGATCCATCTCAGTAGAATGAAGAGCACCCCTCATTCTCGACTAGCCCGACATTTTTTGTGTAATTTCATGCTGTTCAAACCACTGCATTCTTAAACATCACTCTTTCTCAGTACTTTAATGGGCGTTGTGCCTTTCTTGTGAGTTTGCGTCTGACTTGCCTTTCATCAGTAGTATGTGATTTTTTGACGGGGATTTGCTTTCTTTAGTCCTCCAGATAGCCCTCTTCCCGAACTCAGATCCATTCAAAACCCAAACTACGAAAATACGCTCCCACTTACGGTAAGTTTTGTTTCATATTTTCCTTTTTGTTTTCAATTCGTCATGTTTCTGCCTCGTGAAGAACCTATTCCAGTGGTACTTTTACAATGGCAATTCTTGTAAAACGTTTGTGCAATTCTCAGCGCGCATCATTTCTCTTCGACGAACCGCACATGCAACTAACAGTGGATGTTTAAGGTACCTTTCTGTGATTGTCAGTTGAGTAAGGCGTGATGGACAGGTTCAATTGAAATTTCTGATTTGAAACTTTTGCAACGATTTTTTTGCACTCATTTTGCCTTTATAATTGATTTCTCAGCCACGTTTAATCATTTTTTCTAGGAGTTTCCCTTTGGCAGTTGATTTCTTTCAACACATGGATCCCGTTGAAGTCCCTCAATTTTTTTTTCGGGTTAATTTGCAATTGCTCAAATTGCAATTACCACTTCGACGATCATATCTTCATTTAAATTTGTATTTCCGCAGTTCACATCATCGTCATTCTATGTTTCATTCCTTTCGTGGGTTAAGATGAACTCAACAAATTGGCCTGCTCCCAATGTATGGTTCTTCATAGCTCAGTTGGTAGAGCACCGCAGCGCTAACGCAAAGGCCATGGATTTGAATCCCGTTGAAGTCCCCAAATTTTTTTCGGGTTAATTTGCAATTGCTTGAATCGCAATTACCACTGCGACGATCAAATCTTCATTTAAATTTTGTTATATTAGCCAGCTCGTTTAAGCGCTTCCGACCCAGTAAAACTTGCTTCACCTATACTTTAACTGAGGCTTCTTTCTTTTCACTCACCCATGAGTAGAACACTACGTAACTACTTTAATGATCATCATTTTTATCCCTTTCCTCTTGCAGACCCCTGAAAACGTCCTTCCAGATGCAAATTGCTGACCTGCAAAGCAGGAACTGTGTGAACAGTAAGAATAAATTATTGAATGGAAAGAAAAAATCAAGGACGAAACTGAATGTTTGCGTTTGTTTTAATGTTTATGTTTGCGTGTGTATGAGGGGCCGGGGGCCGCTTTGTGGTGTGTCTTAATAAGTTAAGTTCTTCCGTGTGTTTACAGACATATTTTACATTTCCTCTTTCCGCTTGAAAAGCACAAATAGAGTTCTTCTTGATCTTGTTGCGAGGTGTTAAAGTAGGGTCAAACATGCTAAAACTACTATTACAGGCCAGTTTCGAGTTATTCAAATTCATACATGGCTACGAGGCTGTGGGGATCGCACTGAGATTCAGGGATTAATAATTCATTCCTTTTCTTTTATTTCCACCTCGGCCTTGGAGTCAAGTATTATTTTTGATAATCCGAAACTAGCCCATTGACACCAGTAACCCGCGTGGAACAGTGTAGTTTTCGGTGTTTTTCGTTGTCATTGATGTTATTTATCCGGCCTATTTAAACTACAGTATGTATCCCTTTCGGGCAACAAAAAGTTTAATTACAAAATTACACCTAACTGTATTAACGTTGTCTTAAAAAAATGAAAACCCAAAGAAGAGTTAATTAGCTTGTCGTAACCAGTTTACGGATTTCTGTAATCCATCAGACACCGAACTTCAAAACAAGCGTCTCCGGTCTTCTTTACCTAGTATCAAATATCTCTGGAATGACATACTCGTTTCTGTAATTTGTGAAAATAGTTTCTTCGCCTAATTAGCTCATATTTGGCCCTTTTCTTCTTTCTCTGACAACGTAAGGTGTATGCTGATTTTTGGGATTAACTGGAGTATTACCGTGAGTTGATTTATTAACAAGTCGCGTTCCTCGACTCAAAAAAGGAGCTTGCCGTTGGTTTTCCAAGACCAAAGTTTTGTATTCGATCTTTTCTGTTGACGCAGTACACAGAAAGGTTCGTTAAAGAATTACCCTTTTCGCCATTTCGACACAAACTACGTTGGTAACATCAAGATGTTCTAATGTAGAGTTTTCCAGTGTATTTACGGGGCAATAGTTCGTTCTTCCTGTCCTTTTCGCGTGATAGTCAGGCAGATAGTTCAGGGGCACCCAACGGCAATTTTCGGAAAATATCTGTTCGGAAGACGATTTGAGATCTAGAATTTTCGGAACATTTATTGTAAAATTTCTTGCTTGCCTGCCTCTCCTAGGGTTTTCGAACATCTACAAAATGGTATAATTACCCATTTTTAACGGATTTTTACCCTTAAAAAGGCCACCTAGAATTTTCGGGAGCCTTTTCCTGGCTGAAATTTTCGAAAAGGTAAGTTTTGATCTCTATAATTTTCGGATCACTAGACTTTCAGCTAGGAAATCCGAACAGATGAAAAGTTTTTAGGGGATAAAAATATGCCTATATATACCGTTTAGATACTAAAATACGTTCAACAATGCTTTGTTAAGTGGTTTTGAACTATATCCTCGTTGGGTGCCCCTGATAGTTGGGGGGTTAAACATCACGTATACGGCAAACGACAGAGATGGCCAACCGAATGTATCTGAAAACGACACTGAATAGGTTAAATGTATTTTGTCAAGTTTTTCACGAACGTGGAAGTGCTTATTATCTTCACGTTGTACACAGGTAGTGATATACGACAGCGTAATAATCGATGTGAAAAATAGTCACTCACTGCTGTAAACTTGATGCTTACCCTCTCTCTTTAATACCACGAGGCTATTGCACTTTAAGACGGGTTTCAGTTATTTGTGCAAAATATTTAATCATGGTTTCCCTTTTGATTAGGCGGGTTTGGGCGAAAGAGGAAGGGGAAACTAGAATTAGCTTGGGTTGCAGATGTAACATAAAAGTGCAGTAAGTACTATAACAAAGAATTTGACAAGTTACTTCTAGTAATTCTTGAATATTAGCCTGCAGGGTTTGGTTTGCGTTTCCGTCTCGGAGCCGCGTTGTTGATGCCACTCCCTGAGATCATGAGAAGGCACTTACTCCACTACAGTAAAAACCCGCGACTAATGCTTTTAAGAACCTGTTGGGCTAAAATTTGCCAGTTAGACCCCCTCTATACAAGAACCTGTTTAGCCAAAAATTTGAATCAGACTTTAATTTTTTTGCCGCCAAAAAGCCCGCGCTTTTCGCTACCAGTGGACTATAACATAAAGCGTAGTAGTAGCTCAACCAATCAGAACGCAGCATTGATAATAGACCGGCCACTAGTTGGATTTTACCTACAATATAATTTTGTTTCCTCAGAAAATAAGAACCTATTAACGAACTCAAATAGCCAACATTTGTGCCTATTACCATTTATGTTAGAACCTGTTTAGGCTAAATTGGGAGAATGCAGGTTCGTAGTCTCAGGTTTTTACTGTATTTCATTCACCTTTTTCTTTTCTCATTATTCTATAACTGCAACCATGTATTTATTTCAATATATTCCACCATCAAGAGTGTGTGTAGATATGCGTGTCCTGTACACAGTACAGTCTGTATAAATATTGCACGAAGTATATTTATAGTTTTAAGGTGACTTGATAGGGTTTTTCAGGGTCAATATCTCCCAAGTTTGAGCATAAACTACGTCGCCATTAACAAAGATTCGGAAAAATTACCACCACAGCTTTATTAGACAAAGATGAAAATTGCATTTCAAAAGCGCTTCGTTTTCCACAGATAACAGCCGAACATCAAGAGTGTCCAGTTTTTACCGTATTTCTAACCATAAAAACTCCATCCAAAATATCTCGTTACCGCTCCCATAGATTTTGCTTAAACTTCACGAACATCGAGGCGGTTATTGATAGAAAAAGCTCCCGTGAACGATTTTGGAAGAACAGTTCTCAATACCGAGATGAAATAGATAATGGCGTCATTCCGTTGCCATGACAACTCTAATGTCATTGCAACCCTGATCATAACAAATTTTCATCTTTATCTAATGCAGCTGTGGTGCTAATTTTTCCAAATCTTTGTTAATGGCGACGTAGTTTATGCTTACACTTGGGATATATTGCCCTTAAAAACCCCGATCGAGCCACCTTAAAGAGGGAGTGTGCAGTATATATCGTTAAAATACCTTCGTACTATCCCCTAAAATTTCACCTAGTGAGTGGTTACCCAGCCATCTTGCTCACGTCATGTAGGGAGTTCAAGCAACCAGGGCGACGGAAACGGAGACGTCATTTATTAAGCCCCGTGTAAACCGACCCAACATCGTTGGATGTTACATTTTGCCGTTTGCACACTCTGTTGTATGTTGTTGGGAGTTGTTGTGCAAAGTTTGAAATCTGTCAAACTTTTAGCCACGTGCAAACAGTCCCAACAACTCCAAACATTGTTGGGAGTTGTTGCGTCTGTTTGCACGTAGCTCAAAGTGCATTCGCGGTCTTTTAAAAGTTATGGCGGTTATTTCAACTGGGTCAGTTGGTCAAATGTGAGTTCTGCAAACATGAAAGTTTGCCTGGGCGAGTACCTTAAGCGAGAACATCAAAGTTTAACTGAAATAGAAAAAATTGCCATCTTTAATACGTCACATTAGAAAGTTCCACGTTTTAGTCATGCAGTGACGACAAAGAAATGTGCAAAAACTTGTACTGCACGTGGAGAGTCGATGTTTTGCTTATCAAACCAATAGGTGGTTTTCATGCAATCTCGGGAGACACAAATAACAATAGTGAACTGAACAAATGCTGGTGGACAAACAAAGCCAGCTAATGAGCGATCTTTTGTTTACCGTCCACCAGCATGGCGGCGATGACGTAACGTGAAAACCACCTATTGCTCTTTTTTGGAGTTACCGTTTCCGTTGCCGTGGCGTGGTTGAGGTAACCTGGATGAACACTTTTACTTAACAGACTTAATTTACTTATAGACCGGCAAAATTAAAAACCAAACAACTTGTGGATTCATACGAGTGAAATGAATACACAAGACCAAAATGCGCGTATATTTTCTGGCAATGAAATGCAACTTAAAGTTGTGGGAGTGATGTAATTTATAGCGTTCACGTTTCGCAGCCAAATGTATGTATTGCATTTGTTGATAGAGAGTTTTTAATATATGAATGAATTTGTAGAAAATATTAGCTGTAAAGGAGCTCACCAGCCAATTAAATAAACGTGTCTGTTTGTTTGGGCGAATAAGTGTTGTGTACATAATATTTTAGAGAAACGAAGGAGTGCTAATTTCCACCAAAATACAATTTTATTTCTCTAAAATATACCCAGCTATCAGTTGTTTCTCAGATTCCAAATACTTTAATGTTGAAACGAATTACGTCTCTTTTCACTGAATTATTTCTTGAAAATATATAATTGCAAAAATGGAGGCTAATTAATATTCTTNATAAACGTGTCTGTTTGTTTGGGCGAATAAGTGTTGTGTACATAATATTTTAGAGAAACGAAGGAGTGCTAATTTCCACCAAAATACAATTTTATTTCTCTAAAATATACCCAGCTATCAGTTGTTTCTCAGATTCCAAATACTTTAATGTTGAAACGAATTACGTCTCTTTTCACTGAATTATTTCTTGAAAATATATAATTGCAAAAATGGAGGCTAATTAATATTCTTATTCATTCATATGATCATTATTTTCTTGTAATTATATGATTTGCCGTCACAAACGCTATGCAGACAACTGCCCATCCAATCACGAACATGATCCACCAACGATTTCCAAATGGTGACGTGTGCTTGTTGTCATAGTAACCCGTTAGCTCTATTATTTTTTTCCTCCCACAGTAAGCTAGACAGGCGGGGATTACATATTGAACCCCCGCCCCGGCGTATGAGCCCGTAACCCCTACGAGAATTTCCAGGTTCTGGGTGATGAACGCCACTGCAATCGGTAGGGTAATTGTAACAAGGGGGAATACGATCCGGTCCACAACCCAGGGGTATGGGCTTCCCTCGCGATAGAAGAGATTCTTTAAATTGTCGCGGAGAGTTATGGAGATAATCGGAAA